GAGAAGGAGAGAAGGAGAAAAAAGCCGCATATCTTTCTTTTGAAGGGCTTTGAGTGTTTTTGTTAAAAAAATAAAATTGCAATAGGACGTAAATCAGGCGCGAGGTTAATGATAAGTGAAAATGCCTCACTAACGAATGGAATTTTGTATTTTTTTCTGTCCTTTCTCTATCCAATTTAGTTTCATGTTCATATAAGTAGAAGTGGGTAAGAAGCAAGTCATATATAGTGGGCGAGAGGAAAGCGCTCAGGGCACTTTAACGAGATTTCCCCTTTTTCGTTCTCTTTATCGATTCTCACGGGGTTTATACCTTTTCGTTGCAACTCTTTCCATGCACTTTTTTCATACACTTCTTTTTTCTCTTTTCTTTTTTCTTTTTTCTTTTCTTTATATTTCAATTCCCTGAATTTTTCCACTTCTAATCTGTTTTTCAATTCTTCTCATCTCAAAAGTTATTTTCGATAAAACGATAGTCACGTGTGTTTCATTCTTTTTTACTTTTTGCGAAAGATAATAATAGATGGATTTTTTTTACTTTTTCCAGAAGTAAAGAATTTGTTTATATTTACAAAAATGTAAAGCTCCTTTACTTTTGAAAATCACAATTTTTTTTCTTCTCGTTATGAAATGCGAGTTGCATTTCACATTTATTAGAGAGTAAAATGAAAATTATATAAATTATTAAGGGAGTTATAAATATTTTGAGAGGGAAGAATAATGGTGAAATTAAGAGAGAGTAAAATGATATCCAATGAAAGCATTGGAGAGAGGATTTCTTCTTATTGCCACTGGGATTTATTTTTATATATTTCCTTCTGCTGCCTCTGTATATAACGAGAGGAAGGGCGATGGACTTGATTTTAATTAGAGCTTCTTCTTTATTGATCTTATTTATTTTTTGACTTGGACGATTTTTATCCACTCCTTTGAGATTTTATTCGTGTCATCATACATATGAAATTTCTATTTTTATCTCCTATATACATTTCGAAGGAAAAAATCAATTTGCTCTTTTAGTATTTGTTTTCCAAGCTGTGAAGTAGACTAAATTTTCCTTTGATATATCTGTTTTATTCTTTTTTCTGCCTTCAAAAAGGAAAACCAAAATATTAATGTAAACTTTCGTCAACTAGTAGAGCCCGGTCAAAATTTTTACCCGAGAGTTGGAAATTTAAAGCTGGAAATTGTCAGTGACAACATAGGATTTATACTGTATTGAAAAATGTTTCATACCTGTCGCTGTCAAAAAAAAAGATTGAAAAGATTTGAAACCATATTGTTAAAAGTTCCATTTTAGAGAATATATATGAGAATTACTTAGATTTCAGTGTTAGATTCGATGCGATTTCGTTGCTCTTTTAAGCTACTTTTATCGAACCGTGAAAGGTTTTGCTGAGACCGAGACTTGGATTTTAAAAAGTCCCTATTGCAAAAGTATTGCAACTCGGTAGAAATACATCAGAGGTTAAAAAAGAGCTCCCCTCTCGGATCGCACGAAAAATTCTTATCACGACTCCCGCGATTTCAATCTCAGATTCTCTTCACGTGTTGATCCGATTTTCATTGACGGAACACTGTCTCTCTCTCTCTCTCTCTCTCTTTCTCTTTTTTCCAAAATCAAAAATATTTCAATAACCATTCTTGTTTTTAATTCAATAATTTCTCAAAGAAGAATAAAGTATACGCGAAGTGCACAGTGAAATTCAGACTTAATCATATTCTGTCTGGTCTGGAAATTTAAAATTTTAATAAATGAATTTTTTAAGATAGAATTAAAATTTTACAAAAAATATTTATACCCACACAGAGATAAAATGACAAGATTTTTGTACATACTTTGTCTTTACTCCAGCAGAATATAGTTCTTAGAGATTATCTATTTATGTATAAAATGAGTAATTATATATAACTATTCAGGAACTTTGAAGCGCATTTCTGGACAAAAGCGCTTCAATGATAATACCTGATTGCGCCTGATTATACAGAGTGAGAGACAAAATAGGTTAATTTGAAATGCGCGAAGAGCAAATCGAACTAGAAAATTTCTATATTTGTATAAGATTTGAATTTGAATGTACCTACAATTGGATCACAAGTTTTTACAGGGTCCAATTTTTTATTCGATTCGAATATTGGGACTATATTTTGACCCAATTGTTTAAATTTCACACTTAATATTGAGCCTTGGGCCAATATTGGCCTAACGCTGCCAAGTGTTTCTTCTTTTTCCGAATAAAGTGCAATGACGTTAGAATTGAAAAGCTGCATCAATGGTTGAAAAATACGATCGAGAAACGATTCATAAAAGTCATCTTGTACCTTTAGATGAAATATCAGATAGGAGAAAACTCAGCCATGTGCAACATAAATATATGTCCGTATATATGAAGCCGAATTGGCCGCAAAAGGAAGGAGCATTGCAGCAGGTACTAGGTGGTCCGGATATGGTGGATGGTGTTGGAGATCAGTTGCAAAGAGAACCTTCACGAAGAGAGAGAGAGAGAGAGAGAGAGAGAGAGAGAAATGAAAATAGTCTAGTGTATAGGCGAAAGAGTGGAGGAGGAGGAGGAGGGGAAATATAGCTTGCGCCGGAAGCGTGACGGTGGCCATTTTTCACAGCACGGACATCCGTTTCCGGTCTGCGATCACCGCGAAATACAAACAAAAATGGGGTGGGGGTACTGGTAGAAAATATGCGAGGGAAAAAGAAGAATAAATACAGTCGCTCATCCTTGTTTTATCGCCAAAAACCAACGCTACACATTTAGCTATTCTATATTTTTCTTATCCAAGAATTTTAAATTCCATTTGAAATAAAACAAAATTCCGAGCAAGCAAATAATATATTTAAAAAAAAAATTACGTAGACATGGTTGACTGTGTGATTGGGGCCCTATTTCAGCAGATTGCAATCTGGTCCCAAAAATGGGGCGAAAACTACTGCCCCAACTCGATCCTGGTCAAAGGTTGCCAATTTTTACTCTAAATTCAAATACAAAATTAACAACATTAATTAATTAATAATTATAAATTAAAGCACATTGTCATTAATTGGAATTTTACTTGAAATATTTCGAAAAAGTAATAATGTCGTGATACGTGGAAAAAAATCTCGTTTTAATTTCCGTATTTTATTTCATATACCCAATGGGAAATGCCAGTGTAGTGCCGATGTTCACCACTGGCTTAGTACTCAGACGATTGTTCGGCGTAGTCTAGCCGAGCCTCGACAATTAGTGCTGGCGCAGTACAGAATTTTTGTTTCGCCAAAGCTTGGACAAGCCTCGGCGGGAAGTGCTGGCTGAGTATAGAAAAATTGTTCACGACGCTCTTTGCCAACATTGCTTTTTTGACATAAACTTGAAAAAAATTATAAAAAAAGTTTATGAATGTTTATAAATATAAATTTATTAAAAAAAATTAATATTTCACTTTTCAGTTGTTCATTTTTTATTTTTATTAAATTTAATAATAACAATTTAACATAATTGTCTAATTTTGTAAATAATAAATTATTTAAACAAATTAAAATTATAAACAAAATTTAAACTTTATTCTCAATAATAATTTGGTTCCTATTAAAATAATATTATACTTCTTACTATGAATAAAAAATTATTAAAAAATTACCACGTAATTTAAGAATTACGTAAAATGTTAAATGCAATAAGTAAAGTAATTTAATTTAATTATTAAAAATTTAAATTAATTTATTTTATTTCAATTTATTATTTCTAACGTATCCCTATTTTTTTCTCATCTTTGACTCAATAATTGTGTGTCTGAATGATACTGAGATATTAATACTTTACTGTACACATGTGTCGTTAGCATAGTGGTTAGAGCGTTAGTCTGTTAGTCCGTAGGTCGTAGGTTCGATTCCCCTCGTCAGCAATTTGGTTTATTTTCATAGGTTTGCGATATTTCTAGATTCCAATCGTTAGGTACTAAAATATGAAAATCTAATGCACACTTACTGTAATTGTTTATTATTTAATTTTTAAATATTATAAACAATTTTTTTCTACTTCATTTACTATATCCATTGTTAGTCTCCATCTTTAATACAATTTCTTTAAGAAGAGAAATATTTTATGAATAATAACTATTTATTAATATTATTTACCATTTTGTTGTTAAATTGTTTATAATTATGAATTTACGACTAATTAATAACAATACGGCATTTATTGCGGCAATATTCTCAGCCAGCACTGGTCCAGTGCTGCGCCAGCGCTGTCTGGCAGCACTGACAGACAGTACTTCGGCAGCGCCAGACGGCGTTATCATCCCAGAGTTATGCCAGTGCTGTCTGTCAGCGTAGCTGCCAGTACTGCCAGTGCTGGCGCAGTACTCCGCCAGTTGTAAATTTCCCATTGGGTACATACATATATGAAACAATGTACATTTTGCTCTATTTGAGGAACGTGATTCTTTCTGTTCGTTTACGTATTAGTTTCTTTAATTGCAAAAAAAAAAATAAATAAATAATTGAAATAAATGGAAAATTAGATTTAGATGATGCGCAGGTATATATGCAGAATAGGCTCGTATTTTTTTTTGTAATAAAATCGAGAAGCAATCATGAGATAATTACAAGTTGTGATAGTCGACAATCTCGTTTGCTGGGAGTTTAATATTTATAGTGCACTTATTACACTGAGAGTTTGGAAGGAGCCATTCTTGGGTGTTGGAGAAGGGTTTGAGCTTAATCTAAAATGCAGCGATAATGAGGACTGGTTAAACAGCAGAGAAATCGTCCAACGATGTAATGTAATCCTTGTTTTCTCAGACAAAGCCCCCTCTATATAAGAATTACTTTCTCACAACTTTACATTTTGATGTAAATGTCCCGAGAAAATATGTTCATCATTTTGATACCTGCTAATTTACTGATGATTCATTTTTTTATTTTCAATATTAGTTTCGCTTTAATACAAATTTTCGCTTTCAATTTATTTATCCCCTCTTGACCGCATACTTCCTTTCCTCTGTTTCAGGAAACTTTCAAGAATGCGTTGAAGCGACCTTGCCTCGTCGAACTTGGACCTCGGGAATGGATTCGACCACCCTGCTGGTCCTCCTGATCGGTAAGTCAATTCAATTTAAATTTAAATGTTAATTAGTAATTTTTTAGAGGTCATCAGTTTCTTTTAAAAACTTAATACGCATATATTTTCCTTTGTAACAAAATTTTTTTCTGATCATAAAAAACGTTTTTACATTAAAAATTCTTAACCTCTTTGTTTAGGAGAAGAGAAAAATACAATTTCCCTTATTAAATGTAAACTCATATAAATAGTAATAGTTGTGAATTATAGAGGATAGAAACTTTGTTATTTTTCAACGTCTTTTTTTTTACTGTTATTTGAACGATAAAAAATGGTGGGTGTAAATACGTATACTCGGTGTAGTTATTTCAATCATAAATTTTGTATAGCCACAAAAGCATATAATCAGGTCTTTTTATTATGTTCTTTGCGGCACAAAGAATGGGAATATTTTTTTCCCTTATGAATAACCCGCGAGTTATAATAGTAAAAAAAGAAAAAAATCACAAGTCAAATATAAAAGTTTAAAGATAATTGTTTCAGTGGTATAAAAGATTATTGTTGTATTATAATTTAATATTTTTTAGTTGTTAGTAAAAAAAGAAAATAGTGTCGAGAAGCATTAAAACAGTTGTTAAGAAAGTGTATGTATTATTGTACTTATCGTTTAATTATTATCATACCCGTGGGTAATGATTATTCAACCTGTAGTGTAAAAAATACTGTTTACTTTCCATCGTTTTTAACTCCGTTTTATTTGCACTTTTCAAGAGCCAAGTTCACTCCAAGTACTTGAGTTGCGAATATTTCCAAAAGCAAATTACGAATAAAAATAAAATAATAAAGGATATTCAAAGGATTTCTAATCAGGAAAAAAGTAGAAGAGAGATATTTCATCTCCCAGTCTCTATATATATAGTAAATATAAGAAGGGAGACAAGTCGCACCTCGATTGCTGCCAATTCTCTATTGTCGTTGGCAACTGTCCATTTTCCTTCGCATCTCACAAACGTGTAACCTTTTGCCCCTGGACACGTTCACACTGCACACGTTCGAACGAGGGAATTCATCAGAATTCATTTGATGAGTGGGACAAGCATTGCAGTTGAATCTTCTACGTTGGAGAATTTTTTTTCACTCGTGACACATCCGCAAAATGAAGTTTCGGGGAAAAATATATCTTTTTTTTTACACATTTTTCACACATTTAATGCAAAAAGCACTACGGAATATATTCCACTGGGCTTATGTGATGTGTGATTCCCTCTCAAACATCTAAAAAGTCCCTCGATTTGTTTTGTTTCTTCAGCGCCATAAAGTTCGATAAGTATTTTCCGAGTCAGTGAACTTGACACTTTTTTTTCTCTTTTTCCCGCTCTCCTTGTCGTTAGAAACTTGGGAATTTAGAAGACCCTCGTTTCCCTTGAAATTTCCACGACCAGTGGACACACACTCCATGTTAGCAAAGACAAAATGTCAAATGAATTTTATTGGTTTTGCGCATTGGGAATGTAGCGAGTGTGGGAAATTGAATTTTCATGTTGGAAAAAATCAAAACTGGCATGTAACGCTCTGCCCTATTTGGCTCGGATTAAAGTACACGGAGAGACCCACATTCGTAAAAATTACTAAAAATGGTTGCAATGACCGGAAATAAGGGGACTTTTAGCATAATGTGCTACAGAATTAGATAAATTTACAAAAGAAATAGATAAATTTGCTACATTGAAATAGCAAGTTTTAATATTTTGTGTAAGAGTTGTAAATGTAGCAAAAATTGATTATAGTTTTCTCTAATTTAATTAGACAAAATCTGACAAATGAAAACATTTTCCACTAAAACCTACGATCCACTGTAGTAATTTTTGGTGAGCAAGTGTGGCTAGCGAGTGCAGTCATATGGCGCCTGCATTTCTATTGGTTGCTAACTTCGTCAATCTCCGTAAATGAGCCGACGCCATCCGATCATTGACAGTGACTATGTTTCGCGTATGTAAAATAAATTTGGATATTATCTACAATAATTAAATATAAAGTGAAACGTAGGTCGTTCGGTATCTCAGAAATTGACCATTATAAATTAATAAACTTTGCATTTATTCCTGTCCCAAGAACTATGTCTTATAGTAAGTTGTTAAAAGTAAATTGCTTTCTCGTAAGTGCTGTAAATTTTCATCATTCAATATATAAGGAAACAAAGATGTATACTTTCAGTGAAATTCGTTGTCGTGCGTGCAGTTGTGTATTAGTGTATTAATTAACCGCGTCTATATATATAAGTGAAATAAACATGTGTGTGTCTTCAAATATATAAGTGTGTGTGTGTCTGTGTATGTAAAAATCCTTCCAGTTTGTCTCCATTAGTCAAGAATTGACGGGAAACCGGCGACAAAAATCCGTATTTTTTCTTTCACTCTTTCTTTCTGCATTTACAAACGACTGTAGTAATTTTACGTACACAATGCTTCTGAGTTTACTACAGTTATTTGGAACTATTGGACGAAATAGTAAGAAACTTTGCTAATTTGGTGAACATTTGTCGGGATTAGTGACTTAGTGTAGAAAATAGTAAAAAATACAAAAAGTCCCCTTATTTCCGGTGGTTGCAATGTGAAAATAGTAAATTCTAGTGTGATTTTATACAAAAATTAGTAATCTCGGTCTCTCCGTGTACCTTTACCCAATAGGGGCCCAATCTGGATAAAATATTTCTAGCCAAATTAGAGTCAGGATTGGCAATTTCTACACGAAAGAATAAAAACTAAAAAGCCTATTTTGAATTTACTCAACTGTAAATTTGATTAAAATTAAAAAATCCATCCAACAAATTTGATGAGATATTTTTAAAATTATGGACTTAGTTATAATTTGCATAAAAACAGCAGGGGAAATGGAATATCTCTGTAAAATTTTCTCTAATTTTTTATCTGCTGACAAAAAATATCGATATAATAAATTTGTGAAAAAAGTGGAGCGCGTAGCTGTAAATATAAATTTTGTTACGTAAAATATATTTCCGAAGGAATGAACGATCTCCGACTTTCTTGACCGGAAGGAAATTGAAGTTGGAACATTTCACGTATCCACATGTATTTCAGTGGAAAATTTAAAGGAAATTGAATTGACCCCTAAAAAATATGAGTTTCACGTAATAGGAGAATTTTTATACTTATTCGAGATTTTTGATTTGATGAATTCAAAATTTCAAAATCATAAAAAGAGGAAGATTTACCGTGAATCTTTTTCATCTTTTGCGTTATACATTTTGTATACAAAGTTTATTAGTTTTGAAAGCCAACACTTTTTTTTAAACATTAACCCAAAATCCTACTTGACGTTGACACTAACTTTTATTAGTGCCATAATTTAAAATATGTTAGAAATAAAAGTATTTGACACTTGTCGGAATTGAACTCGAGACCGAACGCTCTATAGACCTGCACGCTAACCGCACTGACTCACTAAATGAAGCAAAATATATGTCCACTATACAGCAAGCTTTCCACGAAAGATTCCTGCAAGCTTTACATGGAATATTGCGAGGAATATTTAGCCGTCTCAGGCAAGTTTACGGAAATGCTATTTTGTTTTCAAGTTTTTGTTTCTGTGTATTAAAAATAAATAATAAAAGCATTTTGTTATTTGCATTTTGTTTTTGGAATGTATAAGGATTGCATCCCATTTATTTCTCGAGTCGGGTAATTTTGCCAGTATGAGAGGCGATCGTAAAAAAATACGTTTGGTTTGGCAATGGGTGGTGGGTGTCGAACTCAGGACATTGGAATGACGAGTAATCGATCACGAGTACTCTGCCAACACTCCAACGGCAAAGAGCTCAGCGACTCTCTATCGATTTTGATTTTATATAAAAAAACTCATCAATTCTAACATTGCTTTAGCATTTTTCGCCCATTTTTCGCCCATTTTTGCGCTCCTGTGTTTTATTTTCCAAAACCAGGTTTTTTTATTTGCGAAATAGAAAAAATGAAATGCTGAAGAAGGCGGGAGGGGGAAAGTGCTCTCTCTCTTTGAAAATGCAGATTCAATTGACACACATGGTGCTGTACGGAAAAACGTGAGGAGCAAGTTGAGAACCACGAGCAAGAGAGATATCTGCGGGCGCGTTCGTAATGCTTTCGGAAAAATACAGACAGAAGCACACCCCCTCTGACCGTCCCTGTATCGATTTCTGTCCGATGGAGTATCGCGATACTCCCCTCTGAAGCATCACAGAATCCCTCTTTCTCCGTGTGTCCCTATCACACGGTACCATGCGCGTACGCTACATACGCGTCGCGTCGTGTCCGGTCGAAGTGACCGAGGACACGTGTGGTGTGTACCTACAAACCCATACGCGTCCAGCAGGCACCGACTTGCAACCTTCTCCTCAATCCAATGACTTTGCTTCTTCATTGTCCTTATCCGATATATCGACTCCCGAATTTCCTTTTAAAATACAGAAGTACATGAATGTGGTCCGAAGAAACTTTTCAACAATTTGTAACTGCCCTCGAGAAAATCTCTTCTTTAATTTAAATAGGCACACTATCTCTCACTTTCTGAGAGAGTGAATGAGACAGAGCCCGATTAGTTGAAAATTAGTTCTTTACTCGATTCGAAACTTGGGTTTACATTTTTCCAATAATTGCAATGATTTTTCGTCTATTTTTCATTTTTTACCTTGGACCATTGTTGGGCGATAAGAATTTACCGAAAACTTAACACGATATCAAAATTATATAATGGCATTTTCGAACTAGTAGATTAGCATAACGAAATGCAACGAAAATTACAACAATTAATGCGATATTCTCTTTTGAAGGAGAGAGAATAACCATTCTGATTTTGGCTGAACTGAAATCTCAATAATTATAATGAATGAATTTAGTGCTCGTGAATTATAATTAATTATGTTGCGTGTAATTGATGATTTGATTTAAAGCTCACAGCTTTCTGTGTTCATATATTGTATATAAGTAAAATTCTTCCCTTTAAATAAAAGTGACATTCGATCGTCTATTTCCTTTCCATTTTCCTAA